CCTGGTCCCGAGAAGACATCACCTCGCCTCGGGACGAGGTAACAAGCCCCTGCAGCTCACCTACTCGGGAGGCATAGTTCTCGTTGGAGCGCAGGGTGATCTCCAACGACTTTTGGACCCTGGCGAGGTCCCCCCTCGCCGCCTGGAGCTCGACTCCTTGCATCTTTGCCTCGCCAAGGGCTGCAGTCAGAACCCTGTTCTCCTCCCTCAGGACTCTATTTTCATCCTTTAGAGGTTGAACCAAGCCCTTCAGCTTCGCCATGTCCTCCTGCTGTCTCGACCACTTGTGTTTCCAGTAATCCACAATGGTCGTACCTCTCTGCAGGAAGATTTGGGAGGCATCAAAACTACTCATTGGCCCGGCCGACTCGATCATCGCTTGATCAGCCGTGCTCAGCGACCCCTTTGGGAAAAACTTCTCCGGAGTCACCGCGGCGCTCCATAGAGAGTCGATCTCCTCCAACGCACTCAAATGCTCTAATCGCATCGGCACGCCCTCTTGCGCATAGCAGTACGCAAGATACGTTCGCTTCGGCTTTGGCACTGGAGCATGTGTAGGGATTCCTGAACTCGACCCCTCCCTACGGACCTCGACGGAAGTAGACGTGGGTACCCCCTGCTCGACCACGGAAGGAGTTCCTTCCGGCGCCCCTGAGCTCGGAGGATCCGAAACCCCAGCGATGTTCCCCACCTGCAAAAAATAAGCAATACTCTTCTAAGACAAAAAGTAAACAGAGGGGTAAGACGTCAATGCCATAGAAGGACCAACCGCTTACCTCGCCATCCGGGGTAGCAGGTACAACAGCCTGGATCACCTCCTCGGCAACTGGGGTAGCCCGCCCGGCAGCAAGGACCACTTCCTCGGCAGCATCCCCTGCCTATGGAAAATAACCCCAAGTCAAAACGTAGAAAAATAGCAACAAAGATAAAAGACAGAGGCAAGACTAAGAAAGGAAAGGTACTCACCACGGCGGCCTGGACAACTCGCTCAGCAGCTTGGTCCACCGCGCCGACTTTAGCGGCCTCGAGGGCAACCTCCCCTATTTTGCGAGGGGCAGAGGTCCCCTCGACCTCTTTCCCGCCCCTCTTTCTTTTCCAGTTGACCTTCAGGGGAGAAACCCCCTCCTCTAGAGGCTCGGAGGCCTCGAGCTCGGTCACGTTGAAGCGATGCTTTAGTGCAAGCCACGAGTCCTTCCCTATAATGCCTGCAGACAGAGAATAGAGCACATCAGCAAAGAAAAAATTATACAAACCTCAACAAGCTACCGAAATACAAGATACTCACCCTCCAGGCCCCTCTCCCTGTGCACCGAGTTCGCAAGCGACAGAATCGACTTGCAATCCAACGGGCGAGGAAGTGCCGAAAGATTCCTAATAGCATCAGCCTCCGAAGCTGTCAGTTGCGAAGGGTCCACCCCGTGAAACCTAGACGGCTTGGGGCACCAGTAGAAAGGGAACCTCGGCAGCCCTCCAAAGTAGAAGCCCCCATCCTCCAAAGGGTCAACATCCACGAGGGCAACCCGGAAGAACTCGTGTTTGTAGTTTTTATAAGACTAGGAGTAAAGAGTGAATAAACCCCTTTCTTTACTCCCGTTCAAAGAAAGAACGCCATAAGGCGAAACACCCAACTTCAACTGATAGAAGTGAAGGAAAACGCGAAGGGACAGCTACATCCCTAGGACCGCACACAGGACTTGAAACACCCTCAAAAACCCCAGCTATTGGGGTGCAGCTGGCAAGGAGCCGCGTTGATGTAATTTAAAAAATCACACTCAAATTGAGTGAAAGGAAGACAGACGCCCAAGTCCCTGAAGAAACACTGGTAGACATAGAAATGAGGAGAATCGGTAGACCTCCCAATGTACACACCCATATCGGTCGGACAGGGCTCGAGTCGAATCATCCGCGAAATGGAAGGGTCGCAAATTTGGTGCGTCTCCCAAACCGCATTTACCTCCAGAAGTGATCTAAACACACTTTGGACCCCCCCATTTCACGCTTAACCCAGTCATAACCAGGAACGCCTGGCTCCAGGTCCTTGGGCGGAGGTGAATCTTTCTTCTCGGCAGCGGCTCTCCCGGTAGCCACTGCCTTACCGCGCGCCTTGCCCCCGGCAGGTGTAGAAGAACCGGCGCCACGCCCACCAGCCATCAAGAGAAACAAGAAGATTTAGGAAAAAGAAGAAAGGAAACCGTAGAAAGGAAGTACCCGGTACTCCTCCTCAGAAAATAACCCTAACAAGGACTGGGTTACCGGAAATGGCGACGGAAATAGAGAAAACGAAGGCGGAAACTGAACCGAAATGAGAGCGCAGAAGGCAGCGTACTCAAGAAGCCAAACAAGAAAGAAAGAGAAAATGAGTAAAGTGAAAGGCCAAGAGGCGCGAATGCGAGAAAAAGGCTTTTTTCCAAAATCCAAACGGCCACAACACGTGTCGGCCAGGGGGCACAACTGGCGACAAATTTAATGAGGCCCATCATGATGGATGAAACCATCATTGCATAACCGTCACCCTCGTTAACGCGCCACTTGCACGTTTTCAGGAAGTGAACAGTTACGTCACATGGCATCTCAACAGGCAGACGTACACGAAAGGTCACTTCCCCCCAGCGTGCTCGGTCTTAACTCCTCGACCTACGGTCTTCGGAGCTCGGGGGGCTAGTGTACTATCCGTATTGCGAAGCCCCGCTCCGAGCTCGGCACCACAGCGCAAGCCGACCTCGGACGCGCACTGCGTGGCATCAGCTCGGCATTTAAGTGAATCGTAACTGATTCCCGAGGATTCCGCCCCAGACGAGATTCGTTATCTAGTCATATTACATCTCATCTCAGGCCCAAGGCCCAAGGCAACCCTAAATCACACCAAGGTACGTGCATTACTTATACGAGACTAATACTCACACAAACACTAACTTTAGCATCGGAGTTTCTTTTGTAGGTACCACCCCCATCTTGGAGCATCAACGTACTAGTGAAGGAGACTCACCGATCTTACCTGGCGGATCAGCTCTACAGCAGATTCCCGGTAAGAACAAAAATCATATACATGTATAGTTGATCTTATTTCGAGTATGATTTTTTACAATATAGTAAGATAAAATATTGTGCAAGTTATTAAATGTTAGAAAAAACATTAAAAAAAAGAGAGTAAACTTTAGTTAGATGGTACAAGGAAAAGTCCATATATAATTTAAAGTATGATACGATTAAAAAAATCAGAACTTTTAGTCGAGATTCTAATTAACCCGATAGATCCACTTAACTTAAATCTTGGGTTAAGTATCTTAATCAAGAAAATTACTAAATATTTTAATTTATGAGTTATATCAATCATTTTAGTGGGTTGTGATGATTTAAGGGTGTAAATGGGTAGGAGATAATTCGTGAATTCAAATTGATTAAAATTGATTTAGTGAAGATCAAAATTTTTTAATTTTTGAATAAGATTTGATCCAATTTAATCAAAATTCGTTATTTTACAAATTGGATATTATAAAAGAAAGAAAAATAGAGAGAACAAAAAAGATAATATGAGATAGAAAAAAGAATCTGACTTGTGTATTATCTTTGGGAGAGGAGTAACTTATTTATAAGTACATGTGGTAACTGAACAATTACACAATAAAAGGAATAATACATAACGAAAATATAAATGATAATGATTGATAATGAATATTGACATCTACTAATTAAGTCACTAATTATTATTCATAACACTCCCCCTTGGATGTCCAATATTTAGAATGTGCCTCATTAAAACCTTACTAGGAAACACCCTGTGGGATAAAAACCTAGTGAAAGAAAAATAGTACATCATTCATAAATATTTATTTCTCCCCCTCATGCATACAATATTTAAGACGACGGAGTCTAATCTTGTGTATCAACTGTTCAAAAACTTTTCTTGGAAGTGACTTTGTAAAGAGATCTGCTAGGTTTTCACTTGAGCAGACTTGTTGAACATTTATATCACCATTCCTTTGAAGATCATGAGTAAAAAGAATTTTGGTAGAATATGCTTTGTTCTATCTCCCTTTATGTATCCATCTTTCAATTGTGCAATACATGCAACATTATCTTCATATATAACTGTCGATGTCATTTTTCTAGAAGATAAACCACAAGTTTCCCATATGTGTTGAATCACAAATCTTAGCCAAACACATTCACGACTTGCCTCATGTAATGCTAAAATTTCAGCATGATTAGATGAAGTGGCTGGTATGGTTTGTTTTACAGATTGCCATGAAATAGTTGTACCACCACTTGTAAACAAATATCTTGTTTGTGATTTACCATTATGAGAATTTGACAAATAACCTGCATCTGCATAACCATTTAGTTCTAGTTTGGGAACATTTGAATATAATAACCCCATATCCATTGTACCTCTAAGATAACGAAGGATTTGTTTAACTCCATTCCAATGTCTTCATGTAGGTGAAGAACTATATCTTGCTAACAAATTAATAGCAAATGTTATATCAGGTCGTGTATAATTAGCAAGGTACATTAGTGCTCCTATAACACTAAGATATGGTACTTCGGGACCAAGTATTTTTTATCCTTGGAACCAATTGGTCTACCACGCTTCAAGCGTATTTGTGTCTCATTTGTAGTATTAAATTGTCCAACAGGGACTTCGCTGGTACATATGACTTAGTCACCCCTTTTTGGATCTGTGAATACATTTAGTAATTGATTGGCTAGATTTTGCAAATGAATTATCTTTTGAACTTCTAGTTCACATTGTTTTGTACGAGGATCAAAATGAGATAGTGATAATTCATTCCAACTAATATCTTTTTCTAGCTATTTGTGTCCTCCCCCCACTACACCAAATAAAAGAAATAACGTCGCATATTTTGCGGCAGTTTTAAAGAACCGCCTGCGCTTTTTAAATTTTGCCTAAAAACATTAAAATTACGGCGGTTTGAAGCAACAGACGCAATTTTCAATTTTTTTTCGGCGGTTATTATAGAACCGCCGCAGGTAGGTTAAAATTTTTCCCAAAAGTTAAATGTTCCCTCCCCTCTCATCAGAAACGTAACCCTGAACAACATAATCCCCCTCTCTCTCGTTCCATTCTTCTTCATCTCTCTCGCTCCATTCTTCTTCATCTCTCTCGCTCCATTCTTCTTCTTCTCTGTCGATCACGGTCACGCCTTTGCTGCTCAAGAGTCACGCCTCTAGCCTGCTACGAACGTTGTGCATAACCACGGGTTCACGGGCTCCCAACCTCTACTTTCCTCTGCCTCGTTCGGTGAGTTACAAACTTGCTCACAGAGCAACAGAGATATTGGGTTTTATGTTGATTGATTTTTCCATGTGGTTGCAGCTTCTTCGCTGACACAAGTCGCAGCTAAGTTGCTCTGGATAAACAAAGGTTTATGTAAGATGTGAATTCTCTTATGTTAAAGAAAACTTTTATTTTGCATTTAGAAAACAGAATGTGGTTATTTTCTCTAGCCGAACAGTGTGTATGGTGTGGTTGGGAAATACAATACTGCTGGATTTGATTTGATGCATTGTTGGTTGCTACTGTTTTAATGCTGTCAATATGCTTGCCGCAACAATTTGTAGTGAAACTGTATTGAAAATAAAGTGAAGTACTAAACTTTTTCCTAGTTTGTTACAATTTAAATCAGTGCCAAAATGCCTAAACCAATTGATTTGTAGGAGAGAATTTGATTTCAATTGAGATTTGCTGCTTAATTACGTCTAAACCTAAAACATAATTGGTAAAAGGAACTAACTAATATTTTGTAGTCAAGTATAGTTACTGTAATTGAATATAGCAAGTTTTATGGATTAATGCTTTTTATTAATGAATAGTTTCTTACATTTTTATGTTTAGAGCATTGAAACAAACCCAACTTCTCTATCAATTTTATTCATTTATTTTTTTTAAAATTTCATCTTGCTAAATATTTTTAACTAATTGTGAACTCACTCTTAATTTCATACCCAAGGTTCTTGTGAAAACTGAAAAGGATACTAGTGTCTAGGTACCTTGTAACCGTAATTTATTTGGAAGCTCTTTTTTTTAACTTGTTACTATTGACGTTGTCTGATTATCAAATCTTTTGGGGCTCCTTGTACGTGTCATTTTTGTTCAAAAAAATGTTTATATTTTCCTTATCTAGCACCTTTTTAAAGTTTTAGTTTTGGTTACGGGAGTCACTTCATCATCTATTGATCTACTAGAACGTATTTCAGATTCTTTCATACAAAGTTTAGAAACTGTTTAAGTATGTTTCTTCTCAAACCTGTGGTTATTTACCCAAAAAAAATGAAAAACCTCTGCTTTTATGACTTGATTCTTCAATATGTAAAGCTAGAGAAACCTCATGGACTCTTAGAGCTACAAGGAGTTTGTCTAATGTAAGTGATTTCATGCTTCACATTTCTTGGATATTTATACTCATAGGTTCTCAAGCCTTGGGATGTTGTTAAAACTCTTTAGATTGTTCCTAGCCTCGGTGAATTCATGTCCTATGGCATGAAGTCCATTTAATGATCTCTAGTTCCACTTATTTCGTTGTTTCTTTTGTATTAAACGATGGGATCATGTCTAATGAAAATGCGCAGTCTTTCATAAAGCTTGGTTTCTCCTGCTGTTGATCTCATTTGATTTTCATCTAACTTTTTCTGATTATAGGTTCTTAAATCCCACACCAACTTGGTTGCCTCTGGACAACTTTCTCAGCAGTTGGAGGGGCTGCATATATCTATTGAAGATTACTCTCTGTTTTTTACTCTTCAATTTCTCAGTTTCCTATGTTTATTCTATACCGAGAATGAACGTATTCGCGCTCAACGACCTGCCACGCATCGGTCTCATGCACCGACGCACAAGTCGACCCGTGAAGACAGCAAGGCCGCCACTCCTCTCCCGTGTATATATATATATATATCATGAAAACTAGTTTTTATACCACAATGATGAAGTGAGTGAAGTTGACCAAAAACTAAATAAATAATAATTGAGTGACGTACCCAAGTGCCAAAACACAGTAACCATGAGATTGTCCTCAGTAACGCTATCTACTGCAATTTTAATATTTGGACCCATTGCTTCCATCAATTTCTGCCATAAGTTTATGACATCCTGAAAAGTCAAAAGGTTTCACCATGTTTACTTATTGATGGTATTTATCTACAAACAATTGTCCAGATTAATCTTATAAAAAAATTCCATATTTATTATTTGATAAAACATATACAAGAGAAGAAAAAATGTTGAAACTAACCTGGGCTTTGAAGGGAGTGTAGAAGAGGAGGTCCTGGTACACACATTCATCGGAGACTAATTGCTTCAATTTTTGAATGTCTCTTTCATTGAAGGCTTCGTAGAAATGTTGGACATGTACAGCGAACTCAGGAGTTTCCCCAACCCGTGTTTTCCATTTTTCATTTTGGCATTGCTTCCATAAATTTATGCCCTTCTTCTGAGCTACTAATGATGATGGAAAGCATGTTTCTTTGCAAACTAAGTTTCTGAAATGAGTAGTTTTGTTGTTGTGTAATTGGGTAATGCATGGTGGTGTGTGGATAATCTTGTTGCAGCTCATGAAAGATCCTAATGTGCTACACATTTGGGGTAGTGATGCCATGGCCCAGCAAAGACCATTTCCAAATTCAAAGAGCTAGTGCTTATTTTATTATTCCACTTACTTGTCAAGTGGTTTCGTATCTAAATACTATAGTTTTCCATTCAAGAAAGGAATGGATGCCATTCCAACATGCTTTTAAGTTTATTTTTTATTTTTATAATTATAATATTACTATGAAATATCTATTATCGAAAATAATAATTAAAGTCTATAAAAATTGTAAACATATATTAATTTATGTTTGTTTCTAATAAATAATTAACCGAGAAATTCTATGGTACCCATCTTATTTGAGAAGGTACCGGTACAGTTTTTTATATTTTATATTTTTAATAATTTATTTAAATAATATTTATGATATTTTTTATTCTTTCAATTTTTAAATTATTTAGTCATTTTATTTTTATTTTATATATTCTAATTTATTTGTAATAATATTATTATATATTTAAATAGTTTAATTTTAATAATTTTTTAAGTATATTTTTATCTTTTCACTTAAAATTTTTGAATTTCTATATTTTAATTTTAATAACTTTTTAAGTATATTTTTTGTCTTTTTGTCTTAAATTTTTGAATTTCTATATTATAATTTTAATAACTTTTTATTTCTACTATTTATTAATTTTTTTCTTTTTCTTTAATATTTTATAATATTATTGAAAACTTATAATTTTAATTTCTATAATTTTATTTTACTTTTTATTTTATAAGTATAATTTAGATTATTTATTTTATAATTAAATTAATTTTTTT